AAAGGGAATTTGGTAAGTACTTCAGTCAGAGTAATGGATTATAAAGAGGATAAATATAGACTTATAACTTCTGAAAATGATATGCATATCCACTGAAATGAGAGCGCTGAGATAGGCTTTGGATGAATGCAGTCGGAGAGGGCCAGAAACGAAGACGTGAAGTCGCCTATGCGGATGGCCTCCGGCAAGCTATATAGGCGAGTAGAGCCGGCAATACGAAGGATATATTCTAAGAAAATCACAGACTCATATTGGGCTTGAAAGAGCGGAGCGACCAGGCGATCATGATGAGCGTCGAAGAAATGAAGTGATCGGCATGGGTCGGCTTGAATCAAGAGAAATGGCGACTTCTATCAGGCAATAGATGACTATGAATTCATGAATAAACGATTACTTCAATCACGCTCCCACAGATTAACTAGGAAGACCTATGGGGAAAGGCTCACATGGAGCGATAGTGGTCTCTTCATGTATAGCTCGAGAAAGGAAAAGGAACGAGTGGGAAGGATTTCAGGCCTAGCCAAAGGAATTTGCTGGCAAAGCTTGTCTTTTCTCCTGATATTTAATTAGAAGCAGCAAAACCAAATGAACACAATGAGATGCACGAATAAGTTCGGCTTTCGTGTCTAACCATCAATTTTAATAAAAACAATATTTCCGATTCACGTCAATAGATGAAAAACTTGTGCAATTTCAATTTAGAAACGACAAACACTATTCCACAAACGTGCAAATGCCCTCCCCAAATTAGTTTCCGATTAGATTCGGGCTTTTTGGAAAATTTAATCTGACTAGAGCTTTTTCGTGAGTAAAATGTGCGAACCACAATGCGGAATGACCTTTTTGTATATTAGCCCAGCAATGCCGGACACAGTGAGCAGAAGTTGGCGAGCAGGGGATTGGCCCATGCGTACCGCATAACATAGTATGTTGCTACTGCTACGATGTCAGCGCTAGCTCGACAAAGGGAATTGTTCTAACCAGAGAGGGGTGGTCTACTTATCTTGGAGCTTTGAATGGAGACCCAGATGAAACGATAGAGTTTTCAATGCTGCTTACGAAAATAGAAATTAAAACTGCAAAATGGATCTCCTCAAAAAGTTATGGGGGCTCGAATTTTTCTCGACAGTGGTATCAATTGGATATGCGAGCTCGTCGATTCGATATTAAGTGTCCACGTGGCCTCGTGGTAGTGTTCTCGCTTCATGGGCGTAAGATGAGGGTTTGCTCCCCGCCATTGCCCGCATTTTTGCAAAGTGCTTTTTTATTTCGTTAAAATCTCTCTAAACCTTTTCTGACATTCTTTCACTAAACACTTCATTCCTGCTTTTATTTTCTCTCGTCGTCCCTATTCAAAGAAAGTTGTTCTGCACATTAGCTGTATGACTCTTTTTTATTTTAAAATTGAAGGAAAATTCAACAGAAAGTTACCAGAGATGTGTAAGATGCCGGCAAAAACTCAACATTGATGGAACAACTTTAAAAATGAGTGAAGCACACATGTTCTTCACAAACTGCGCACCTTATGCATGCGGAATCCCTACATCCGGTGACAAAACAGTCAATCGTCTCAAGACTGAACGGGATGCAACAGGATTAATCAGAATTTCGAATTAATTAAATTTTAAAATAAAAAAGAGTCATACTATTGAAGTGCAGAACCACATTCCTTGAATAGGGGCGACGAGAGGAAATAAAAGCAGAAATGAGGTGTTCACTGAAAAAATGTCAGAAAACGTTTAGGGGGCTCTTGATGAAATTATAAACACTTGGCAAAAATGCGCACAATAGCGAGGAGCAAACCCTCGTATTACGCCCATGAAGCGAGACCACTACCACGAGGCCACGTGGGCACTTGATGTCGAAGCGAAGAGCTCGCATATCCAATTGATACTACTGTCGAGCAAAATTCGGGCCTCCATAACTTTTCAAGGAGAACCGTTTTGCAGTTTTAATTCTCATTTTCGTAAACAGTAGTCAAAACTCTATCGATTCATCTGGGTCTCCATTCAAAGTTTCAAGATAAGTAGACTACCTCTCCTTGGTAAGACTTTCCTCAGCCGTTGAGTAGAATCTCAGCCATAAGAAGTTGTCTTCAGATGAAAAATTGGTCAGGTGATGTACTAAACTATCCGTAGAGCTTTTCAAACGAATACTAACAGAGCGAGGTCCAAAGCGAGACAGAATGACTGCTATGTACAGCACACGTAGACGACCAATTAATTAACACTCTTTCAAAAACAGATGATTAAATAAGCCTGATCCTAAGAATTAGAAAATGTATCCTGTCATTGTGATTCAACTGTTATAAGCTTGATTGAAAAGCATTTTATTTTACAGCAGTTTGATTTCAATTATAGGACACACTTTCATTCGTTATAATCATGGAGAAGCGGGTAGATGCACGATAGGTTTACTACGAACGCCGCTGGCAAAGCTTCAAAAGTTTGATCAAAAACCTACACTCCAACATTTCTGCTCCCACTATCATTACATAACTGTTCAAATCATGCGTGATGCCTAATGACTATAACTATGGGTCATTACGGGTAACGGAACTTCTCCCCGATTGCGGCACGCGGCAAATGTCACTGCAACTACCGTAATCCCGCGCCTCCCCGCCGCGACGGACGGAATTCTTCGTTAACTGCCCTTTTTTTTTATTAGATTTGAACATTTTTTCCTATTCCTTTTTAATTTTTATGTTTATTAGACTTGATTAATTAGAATGACTCGTCCTATGTAAGTGACGATCAAGACTGCATTGAAAATGAAGCGAGCGGTCAGCCAATACGAATAATTAAAGACTCCCTCCCTCAAAAATTGCGCGCTCCAATCTGCCATCGCAATCCTGCGATACGCGGCGGGTGCGGCGTACGCGACGCCGTCTTCAGGGAGAAGTTCCCGGACCCGGGTCATTACAGTTTTCATGACGGGGCCATCAAGTGTTTTATCTGGATGGACCGATTTGCTGCATGTAGTGTGTTAATCGAGAGTTCCCTCGAATTCCAGTGTACTAGGTTTATCAAAGTTTTTTTTTTTTAAATCTTCGAAGTCTCTTTGAGAAAAAATACAATTCCTCTGATAAGTTGAACAATTTTCAAAATTTCATCTCAGTTGTGTTGGGATTCCCTGAAAACAGTTTGTTCAGAACCTGTCTGAATATAGAGAACGTCGAGTGCTTTTTCGTCCCTAATGCTTTCTTTCTATCACAAAGGCAAGAGTGCAGCTCAAAATGCGAAAAAGATATGCCGCACAGTAAAAGTACAGAAACGCTCAGTACAGCCGATAGTGCTGTCTTTGCTGCTTTTAAGATGCTGTCGTTTACCAAAACAACGTCACACCACACAAATTTTTGATCACTCGCTAAAAATTAGTGGAGTTCGGATGGGACGTCTATGGCACTACCCAGGCCCCCACCCCATGTGGTCCGGATATTGCATCGTCAGGCTACCATTCCATCAGAGCTCTGCAGAATCGTTTCGAAATAGATCATTTGATTTTTTAGAGGAAATAGAACACTTATTTCAGAGTTCTAAACAATAAGTCGTCCGGAGTATTGTACGAGAGTGGAATTATGATGTTCCTGGGAAGATGGGAACCAGCATCAAGCAGAACAGAGAATCTATTTATCGGAGTTGTTCTTAGAAGATTCTTCTCTCATAGTAGACCTCAAAAATCGGATGAAACTTTCAGACAACTCAATACAATGCGGAGTTATCCACTGAATCTGATTCCCATCAACAAGCGCCCTCAAAAATGCTGTGACTTTGAATGCTTCCGACAAGAGATCTCAAGATATGGGACTAACAAGTGTGATCTACTCACACACATACCTTCACATGTAATGTAAAATCCAATATTTGCATTCAGGTAAAAGGGCGTTGGGGTCGGGTAGCGATGGAATTGAGCGTGACAACTTTTGGCAACAGAATAAAAGTGTAAAGTGCAGCTATCAAAGCTGATAAACTTGGTCGAAAGCGTCACGAAAACACTGATTTTAAAGCAGAGATCCGTTAGAAGGGTGTCGTATGGACATATGCATTGCCATTTATATCATTAGGATGAGATCACGTCATTCTAATTTCCCAGAAACAGACGAAAACTTGATCGAAAATGGCGACCCACTCACGTGAGAGATGAACCTTCAAATTGTGCTACTGGCTTTACCTCTACCAATAGGTTTGAGGTGAAAATTAGCTGATCCTAGCAATTTTTCCTCACGTGTTCAGATACAGCACACCAACGAAAGCCTCATACAACTCATCACTAGGGAGCTGGCTAGTAACCGGGTTGAAAAAAGCCACGGTTCTTTTCAACTTATGGGAGGTCGATTCAGCTTTTTACCATGAAAGGACTATTTTTTGAGCTCTGCCGATGTTCAAATTGAATTAACTGATACACGGAGACTTTGTCGTGGTAGGGCTTTACACATATTTAACAATACATCAGCTCGCCGTTATCTCCGCCACTCAATCTCACTTTGCCTTGACCAGTTGAAACAAATTCCAATCAACATTCAAGCCGTCGCCCCTCTTGGTGCACGTCTAGTACGTACTCGACGTCCAATTTGCTTCACTCTCGATATGGAGTCGTTTGCCCAACTCTTCAATTTTTTCAGTCTGTTCGACTCAGTGGAAGTGCCGGAGCCCTTTACGCGAACTGCTACAACAAATTCCCTTTTAATAGCGGATGAGAACGAATGTTCCCGTCAATCCTTGTAGTACTGTGCCAAGTCGCACGAACTCCACCCACATCAAGAAACACTTCGAACACCGCATCTCTTTCCCTATTTTGCAAATCCTTCTCACCTCCATAATGCAAGGAACGAAATAGCGAATGTATGCTGATGTTCCACTTACAAAGCGTGACCCATTTTTCCATATTGACGCCCCTTAAGTGGTAATATTTTATCTCCACTCCACCTCTTGAACTATTACCTACGTGCTACTGTTTAGTGGTCTCTAGACCGTCCTAAACCTGAGTCGTAAATTTCCCTAATGCGCACCACCTGCCTAAAAACCTTCCGTGCTTATGATGGCTGGCTGTTGATGGTCTTAGATGCGCATGGTTCATTCTGCGTCATCTCTCCCTATCATACCCGTTTCTTTCGAGGTTTCCATGTCGTCGCGGAACCAACTCAGATTGTTTATGAGTAGATGTGCACATTAGTATAGAATGGGTTCCTGATTCTTCACTTTGATGAGTGGCTTATAAAGTGCTTGTGTGCTACTTACACGCTAGCGCATGGTCAACACATGTCTGGCATTATCACATTCCATGATTCTTCGTATAACACCGGAGTCTGACCAATGAGGCCAATGACATTCAAAATCCATATGTAGCACGAATACTTACAGTTCGCTATAACTTATTGTTCTTTAACAAAAAGAAGACTCTAACGTAGAAATGAAGAGAAAGACTCAAGTCTGTGGAAACCTGGAAAACCGTATAGATTCAGGTATTCAGACGGGAATTAATGAGTCCCAATCTGAAGAACTCCAGAGAAGAAAGTTTGAAGACAAAATGGAGGACGTTTGGTGCAAGCTGGACCTCTTATGCTGGAGATTTCCGAATGATCACAAACGATGTAGAAAATACGAGGAGCCATCGCCTCGATGGCCTAATTTTGGGCATCTCCTCGCTCAGTGGCGCGATCTGGGAACAACCGTTGTGAACATTTCAGACATGGATTTTGTTGCCTGTTCCGTTCTTCCTGTATTCCATCAAGAGAAGGTACAGTTGAAGTATTAGGTTGAGTCCTAAGTCCTCGGACAATGTGGTATTGATTATTTCTAGAGATCATAACTCGGGGAAGAGCAAATCAAATCGGGCGCGCAACGCATCATTAGACAGAGCTTGAAAAGCTCTTCCAAAGATATATTAAGAAACGCACCTAACTGTTTCATTCCTGCAATCATGACCCATGATTTCAAGCCATCGCAACTCCACCTCCGAAACACCATACTGTTTCTTTTCTTATCTGGCCAAGAACCCGTGGAGATCGATAGACGCATGAAGGGAGTTCACAAGGAGGAAGCCCCTTCGAGAAGCACAATTTACAAATGGCACTCGAAGTTCGCGTCGGGCGACTATTCCATCGAAGATGAAGACCGTCCGGGACTCCGAAGGAGTTGGATTTGGAGGTGCTGCGGTGCCAGGTGGAAGCCGATCCGTACCAAACTACTCGTGAAGTGGCAGTCTCTCTTAGGATGAGTCAGTCCACAGTTGTTCGTGGATTGAAGTTAATCGGCAAGATGCGAAAGCTCGGTCGATGGGTGCCCCATGAATTGGAGCAGTATGACATGGGCCGCCGCGCCGACATGGCACTTTCTCTCCTCACGCTCAAGCGTACCCACACTTGGCTCGACCACCTAGTTAACGGAGATGAGAAGTGGATTCTCTGCTCTAACGTTCACCGGCTTGCTCAGTGGGTTGACAAAGGTGCGGATGCAGAAGACTTCCACAAACCCAATGTACACGCCAAGAAGGTTATGCTGCATCTGGTGGAGCGTTCACGGCGTCGAATACTGGGAGCTGCTAGACGAAGGATGTACAGTGACCGCAGACATCTACATTAAGCAAGTGGGAATTTAAAGGCGAAGCTTGAAGCTACACGTCCACAGCACCAGAAGATTAACTTCCAGCACGACAACGCTCGGCCGCACATTGCAAGTACGACCAAGACTGAATTAATGAATTTCGGCTGGACAATTCTGCCCCACCCACTATATTCCCCAGACATGGCTCCCTTGGATTACCATCTTTTTTTCCCATCTCCAACGTCATCTGGATGGTCGAGACTTTCANTCCACAGCACCAGAAGATTAACTTCCAGCACGACAACGCTCGGCCGCACATTGCAAGTACGACCAAGACTGAATTAATGAATTTTGGCTGGACAATCCTGCTCCACCCACTATATTCCCCAGACATGGCTCCCTTGGACTACCATCTTTTTTTCCCATCTCCAACGTCATCTGGATGGTCGAGACTTTCAAACCCGCGGGGACATCAAAGTGGCACTCGAACAGTTCTTCAAGGACAGCCCCCAGCGTTCTGGATCAAGGGCATCTACGATCTGCCCAAGCGCTGGCAGAAGACCATCGATGCCAATGGGGCATATTTCAGATGATTCGCATTTCTCGTTTAAAAATGGTAAGATAAATATTTTTACTGTCAATTTGTCCGAGGACTTATGACTCAACCTAATATAAACGAACACGACCTTATTCCTCATAGGTGTTTCTTCCACCAGCCGTGCTCAGTTGCAGGAAACAGGAACTTTCGCAATTTTTCCTACCCGTAGAACCCCTCCTCGGGAGATTTATCTTTCATTCCCAATGACTTCCTCTGCTGCAAATTCGCAGCGAATACCGATAATATCAAAAAAGGATTCTCGCTTGGGGAAAGCAATGCCCAAATCTCAGGGGAGTCGTTATGTCTGAAATTAATTTCAAAATACTTAGCATGTTCACATGACAGGTTTCAAGCCAGACAAGCCTCCAAAGTTCACAAATCCACAATGCTGAATAATTTTTTTTTTGAAAGTTTTAGAGTTTTTTCTCGTCTGAGAATGACCTCTAAACAAACCCATTATCATATTCCTCAAAATCTCAGTTGTAATCGAAAACGCCAAACTCACAGCATCCTTCCTCCACCAACTGACGATACAGTATGACCCTTCACTAACGTTCGCACACGAGACAACAATGGATCTCTGAATAAATGTTCCATCATAGGAAGTGTGGTATTTTGATTCACGTCAATGAGCGCCAAATTGGAGCAATCCCAAAAAGTTCTCAATCTATTGAAAGAGGCCTTCTGGGCTTTCTGAATTCATGTTCTCGTTTCCATCAGTTTCACAAGTTAATCGAGAGAGTAATACGTTGGAAGGAATTAAGAAGGGCTATGGGCAAATTTCTAGAACGTCCACTCAGTAGTTTGAGCAAGGGTTCAGTTAAAGACACAATTCACGATTAAGATGGTTTATATCATAAGATGAATTTGGGGCCGTCCCGTATACAATATGTTGTGCTGTCAGATTGCAAAACGGGCTACTTGGAGCGTTGTAATGGGCAAAAGATTGAATCGGCTGGAAGCCGCACCCATTAGTGGACGAGTTCTAATGGCGCTGCACCACTGGGGACCCACATGTTAAAAATTCAGGCAACCAGCCGTGGCTCAAAGAGACCGTGGAAGACAGTTCCATACATTTTTGGCAGTTCTTTTGTTAGAAAGTTCTTTTTTTATTTGGGATGAAATTGTCGGGTTTTCTCGACATCTTCACCCCATGCACTGCTTTCCGACAACAGTTTCGCTTCCAACAAAAAGGGGACCCCAAAATTATTGCGGACTAAGACATGAACGAGTGCCTCAAAAACTCGAGTGAGATGATGTTGTTATAGAATCACTTTATTATTTTAATGCATGTCATCAGAAGGCAGATAATATAATTTCTTAATGGAAATAGACTTATAACTAATTGCTAATGCAAATGCTACATTAATTAAAGTACATCCGCATACCCTGTACCAGGTATAGCACATCCAGAAGTTGAACCTAATGAAGATTGTATTCTCAAAAGTGCAAATCTACATCTAACGTGAGACAAAAGCGGTTATGTTTGTTTTTGGTATTCGGAAAAATTTGTTTGCTCCATACTTTATCTTCTCTAACTTGATATTAATTTTCCCCTTTGATAGTCAGATGTAAAGTATCTGGTACCGTCACGAAAATAACTCGAGCTCAAGCGCACTGCCATCGAATAATCTTAGTAAATATGTAATGTGAAATGTTTTACGGGGAGAACGACTCAGTAATCTAAATTTATACACTTCCTTTTTAGGTTTTTATCTATCTGGATGGATTGACCCCTGCTACTTCATTATAGGTTAATATTTAAAAGTTCTTGAATGAAAGCTGAACAAGTGGATGCGTCGCTAAATGGGGCTGATCAACCGCAACCTGGATACTATTATAACTTTTGCTGTAGGAATTGAACTTCAGAGATCGTATCTAACATTACGTCAGTTAGTTCTTCTCGAACATGATGATGTCAGGAGAGTGGTAAGAGAACAAAAAATAGAAGAAAAATGCATAACGAATATGGAGAAGATAAAGGAGGAGGAAAGAAAAAAAAAAGAAAAAAAAGGCAATTTGAGGAAACTTTCTAAGTGCGTTTCCGTTCATAGTTCAAGCCCAAGTTTCCTAGCTTTACTAGTTGTGAACAAGTAACAGCTTCCCTCCTCGAAAATGATCCCTTCAAAGCTATAGGACTACTAGAGTCATCTTGTTGATGATGGCAAACAAATTTGAGTAAGTGGTAAAGATTTTCAGCAACGGTTGACATCATACTAAAGTGCTCCTCATCTAATTTCTACTCTGACCCTCCTCTAATCGAAATTTGAACGAGATTAAGGGTGAGTCAGAGGCATTTCAGGAATAATGCATAAGAAAACTACTGATTGAGGTTCAACACGAGGATTTTGAAACATTAGTGGTTTGCTAAGCACTCTCGTTGTCGCCTGAATTGCCGGGGATTGAACGCAAATTGCCTTTTTTGGCGGAGAAATGACGCTCTAAACAAAGATGAAATCACAACGCATGTTAGGAATGGACGAGCCCATTTGATGAAATCTGGTTGCGTTTGGGACGAACGCGTTCTTTGGCCCATGAATGCGAAAAACAGAGAGCTGACTGAGCTGTTTGAAGGTCATTTAGCTGAGCTATGGCGATAACGATATTGAATCTTTCTAGCCTATTAGAGAGAAAAGATCATGCATTTCTATCAATGCTGGAGGGATTCTCTTTTAAAAGACAGTAGCGATTTATACACGAAAACGGGTCTTTTGTATAATACTTTTTGTTTTTTACGGCCCTTCCATAGTCAGGTACATAGTTATACCTCCTGCTCTAGATGTGTAGGGAATCCGTATGGAGATTATTACAAACATTAAAGTATCTGAAATTAACCACTATTGGACTATGATCGCTTAGCTTCGCGTGTGAGAATCTCTCGGATTTTGAGAAGGATCGGCCATCGGTCCACCTCAGTGTTAAAGGCACGGTTCACGATAAAAATGGCTTCGGAGATTTGCTCATGGTATGAATTCGGGGCCCCCTCTGATATGATATGTGCCGGAATGAAGTCGAAAAACGTTCTGGATATGGCACACTAGGGGGCCGGAGAGTAAGGCACGGTCAGACTCCGTCCCTCGCTAGGCAGACTACGAAATCTAATGGCCGTTCACCATTTTCGCATTGGAGCAACATTGGTGAAAAATCAATAAGCTAATCGGCCACATCGTACTGGTAGTAGTACTCGGCTGTAATCCTACTATTCGACTATTATTCTGCTCTATTTTGTTCTAATTAATCACTGCACACACAACTCGGATCGCTTCGAACACGTTCAAATTTTCGAGCTTATTCTCAGCCGTCATCAAAAGGATCAGGCACAATAATCTAGCTTAATATCAGCATTAGAATAAATAATATTAACGAAGAAACCAAAATCAGCCGTTCGAGCGTGTTGTGTGCAATTGCAGACATTACGTCGCATTCGTCTACTCGCCTGAAAATTCCCTTGACCGCCGTTTTTTCGCCATGTAACTCGTCCAACCTCCCTTTCTCTTCTTTTTTAAAGCGAATTTCTTTTTATTCATCTTTTTTCGCGTTTTCTGCTTTTCCATTGTACAACTGTAGGCCGTACCTAACATTTTCCGTCAAAAACTGGATACCCCAAAATTATC